AAAAAAAAAAAAAGCTTCCCTTAAGAAAAGAATCTACCTAAAATGTGCAGCCATATTTCTTATTCCCTGGATCTTTTGCTTTTTTTGAAATAGCCATTGCCAGAATGGTCCAGAACCAAAAACATTCAGGGGACATTTATGGGCTCCCTTTCAATGGAACGAAATGGTTCAGAATATAAAAGGAAAAGGGTCAGGAGAATGAAGTTAGAGAAAGGAAAGTGTTCTTTTGTGTCTGATGTCAGGCTTAAGAATAGTGAAAGTTATCTAAAAAATATTTATAGGTCAATTCTGGTAACCTGTTCCCTTCTTCTCCTCCAAATTTGCCTAGTTAGGGGAAGAGGAGATACTTTCTCAGATTAAGACTGAAGGTATCTCAAGAAATGTCCTCCAATCAAAGCTGTCTTCTGACCCAGTCTGAAACTTTCTGACATTTTCCAACATTGATTTTAGTTACAACATGGGCAAGAACTGAAAATCATCTTCCATGTCAGTGTAGAGGCAAGTTTCTTCATATCACATACAAGAGCCTGGCTTGAATGAAGAAGAATCCCAATAACCATGCTCTATACATTGTTTTGGATGGAGAGAGATAAATCATTCATGACAGAAACTACTTCAGAATTTAAAAATACATTGACATGGAAGAAAAAATTTTATGAACACTTAATGAAGAATTTTATTTCTTACTTTAAAAATGTCCCACCATTAATGCCTAATAATATAAAACAAATTAGGAATAGGAATTCAGAAGACCTAAACACTAGCTCTTCAATTTGCCACTAATCTTGGACAAGTCACTTAACCTCTCTGCAATTTCATTACACTTGTCATTGTCAAATGTGTTTAAAGCACCAGAACTCAAATATGCTAAATGTATAGGACAATTATTATGGGAGTTTTTCCGCTTGAGGATGGAGATTCTAACCTATCTGCTGCCTCTTTTGCTTTCTGATCAGGCATCTAGTTTTCTTTGATGATGAATTGTTGATGGCAGAGAACAGAAGGGGATCATTTCCAGTGAAAACTAAAACAGGAATAGAGGATCATATGTGGGGAAGCACAAGAAAGAATTAAGGCAGGTAGTCCAGAAACAACTTTGTTTAATTTATTTTAGGAAGAAAAGGAAAAGTGACTTTTTTTTTATCCTGAGGCATTAGTGGAGAAAATTTTGAAAAGCAGACATAGAAAGGAGTTGGAATAAGAACATAGGAAGAGGGATGAATGCTCCAGCAGGGTAGATATACAAGTTTTCCTTAAAGACAGACAGGAATGAAAAGAGAAAGGGTAAAGCCACTGGCTTTGAGGAGTAAAGGAGAAAACTCAATGGACTAGCACTACATGGTCCAGTCTCCTTGGTTAAGCAGAGAGTAGATTGAGTCCTCAGCAGGGAGGAGGTATAAAATAAGAGAAGAGTTAAAGAGGGGGAGAATTTTTATAGATTTCAATCAAAAGTCAACCTCAGGCTAAAAATGCTTAGAACCACGGTGGGACTCTCAGTGACAAAGCATTCACTTATAATGCCCCCAACAAACAAAGCCAATCAAAATGGAAATGAAATTAATAAATAATGGCATATTGTTTAATAGAAATTCTTACTCTTTGGAGTTGATGTGATGTCTAAGAAGCATCTTAGTGAAAATCTGATTTCCTTTCCTTCCAAGTCTCTTTTACAGCTCCTCTGCTACCCGTCAGAGTACCCTTTGCTAACTCTACTACTGACCTTAACTACTAGCTACTAACTATCTACTACTACTACTACTTACTACTAGCTACTATCTACTTAAATACTAACTACTAACATTGATTATATCTGCATTCTCAATCTAACTCTATGCCAATGAAAATTTTGTCGTACCCATTCTCTACACTTACCGAAATGACTTCATCTATGCCAGACTTTTGTATTCAAATCTCCTTCACTCACAGACTGTTTTGATACACCATAGTGAAAGGCAATGATGAGTTCTTTCAGTCAGCAACTCATATAAAAACAATCATTGTGACATTAAACCTCATTGGAAATGTAAA